TTCCGAGATATTGGAACGTTGTGGAAGGAAATGGGAAGGGACGTGTGAGCGAGGTCTCACAGCTCTCTCTCGAGCCATGGCGAACGCGAATGGCGCCCGTTGCTTTTCGTTGAAAGAAACGTCAGGATCAGCGAAACAAGTTAATCCTATACACAGGGAAGCATAAATTTCCGGGACAGGTATATTTATGGCGGACTAAGTAACACTGATGCGGATGACATTAGTCAAAATCGCGGAATGCTTCGAAAAGACGTTGAAGAACCGTCTCGAAGGAAGATTAAGACAGCTCTTTGACGACTTTTAGGCATCTCTGTGTTGTCTAAATCAGTAGGGAATATATCGACGATAGACCCAGCGAGAGCCTACCAAGCTATACAGATCCACGCTGCTTTACCACGATGTGGCCCAACGTTAAATAAATCGTAATTCTAATTTGGTTGTATATAGATTGCGCGCGAATCATATTTGTACATACCGCGTAGACGTATATACGTTTTTCTGTAAATTGAGAACACGTTTTAATATTCTCCGGTCGATCGGACCGATTCTTCTTCATAGGCAAGGACACGCTTAGAAATCCGTTTTAATCAGCCACGATCCTACGTTAAATACTCATCGATGACGATCGTATGATTATCTATTCAGAAGTGTTAACGAACTTCTAACGCGGCTACTGGTACGACCGGCGTTTCGAAACTTGATCTCGATGTTCCAATTACTGTATTATTGTCGTCATTATTATCGAGAGAAACACACGCCGGTGCGAAACGCTTCGATCAATTTAAGAAAAATATTAGATATTCAGTCAACAACGCACTCTTACAAAGGCGAATTGCTAATTTTCGTCACCGAATGTCAATATGCTCATTAAAATCGAAATGCCGATCGTACAATCAGCAGCCGCCATGTACATTATCCATTGTTTTGCTCCTCAAACAGATCCATGTAACACGATAGATGTTTTGAAGGCACAACAATCGTCCGGATCTTCGAAATGTCGTCGATCGCGTTAGCGATAAAATCCCCAATGCGACTTATATATCGATATTGATCACAAGGGTTAACGATCGGGAACATTAATTCTCTCTCTATTACGCCGATCAAATCGTATTTAGTGCTCTTCCCTTCGTTTTCAAACGCGCTTTTTGTCGCGGGCGGGCGGAAGAATAAAATCTTTAGGATTGATCGCGCGATAGTCGTCGCTAACGCGGTGGTCGTCGACCTTCCGACGATTCGGCCACCAGGGCACCCCCATTAAACAGGGCGTTAATTAATCCCCAGCTAATCAAGCAGCAGAGCCAGTCTTATCGCGTAAAAAGGAAAAAAAACACCGCGAGCGCTATCGAGCGCGCGCCTTTCGGGCGCCGTCGTTTTTTATCGTTGTATCCAGCACGGCGGAAGCTTGTTTCTTAAGCGAAGCACTCCCTCACAGTCCCATTCAACCCCTCAACCCTCTCGATTCGATCCCTCATGGGAGAGGACCCGGGTTCTCTACAACGGTGGCAGTAGTGAGCGGGTCAGTTACAGCCCGCCGACGTATAACGTTTAACAACGCGTCTTTTTTTGTACCTTACTTCTTTGTTCTCGTGTCCCTTCGTGATCGTTCGTCAAGTACAACAACAACAACACAACGGGGCGCAGGCGGGATAATAAAGCGTATCCCGCAAGCGCTCAATCGCGTACCTTCGTACCTTCTCGATCGAGCGCCCGATGCTCGATTGACCTTTACGCTCTACCCTCGATTTCTCCGCCCTTTCCCACCCTCTTCCCCCCTCCTCACCCCCGCCTCCTCCCCCGGACACCCTCGTCCCGGATTTTCTCCCCCTTTTGATTTAAACGATGTATCTTCTAGTTATTAAGGTACCCGAGCTAAGTCCGAGGCGTATCGAGGATCGAACACTTCTCTCGACTCGAGATAAATTGTAATGTTACCGGCGTGCTTAAAAAGGAAGTTTTAATCGAGCGCGAAAAAAAAAGAATAGAGCGCGATTCGGTATCGTAAAAATATAACAAAAGTCAAGATTTAACCGTTGGCTTTTGACTGTCATTAAATTATCGCGTAAATGTCTATTTATTTATAGACGTTTTACTCCGAGGGCCATAATCTTATATTGATATAATTGGCGCCGCTGTGATAATTGTTGTTGACTGTAAATTAGCGCGAGATGTAACACGCGAAATCAGGTGCACCAATAATAGATCCGATCGAATGCCAAATGATCGTCAAAGGATTGCTTTTATGGCCAACGTAATACGAGGGCAATCGTGACGACACTAGCGTGCGAGTGAGTTTACCAAATTTAGGACAATATGGTCGCGCGCGAGAAATTGCAACGCTATCGCTAAATCAAAATTAAAAGGGTATTTAATGTTGTGCTAAGAGAACCGCGCGATAGAATTGATATCAAGATGAGAATTGGAATTGAGAGGATCTCGATCCGACGATGTGCCTCGATCCAACCCACCACCCTATCTAGACGTAAAAAATACACTTTCCCGTTATGCTTGAAAAGGAAAAAAAAATCGTACGTAAAGCAACACGACCATGTACACAGCTCTCCTCGCAGGAGCACACACATACACATATGTTACACACATACGCAGACATTCACAAGCGCGAACACGCGGGTATACACACGCATATACGTTCGTAACGAAGTATACAGTCTTAGTGCAGCGTTTCATATAGTTAGATAGAGGCGGCGAGAGAATATTTTTTATATTCTACATGGATTTTACAGTTATATATTATCGTTTCGTACCGGAAGGGAGAAATTTAAGGCGCGTCTAACGCGGTATATAGATATGCATATTTACTATATATACGAAAGCCACACACGTACACACATATACAGACACCCACACACACACACACATATAACATACACGATCTCTAAAATACGTGTCGCCATTTATTGTTTAGATCGCGCGATTGTATATCGTTTATCAATCATTCTTACTGCGGTAGGCGCTGTCGTTTATCGTGTATACATATACACGTGTGTACATATATATACGTACATTATTACACACCGCGAACGCACCCATACGTACGCGACACGTAAGGCATTACGTGTCACATTCGTGATCTCGTCGACGATTATATTATCTCATCGCTCAACGACACAGTGCGACAGGTTTATCTAACAATAAGGGCACCCTCGAAGGGCCGGTCGATTAAATGCATGCAGTATCGACAGCAAGTGCGTGGGCACGTCACACAACGTGCATCCTTCGTACTTTCTCCTTCCGGCCCCGAAAAAGCTTTTCCTTACTCCCGTTCCGTGAAAGACAGTGCACGCCGGAGGAAAACACGGCGAGGATCGATCGCGAGACATCGCAGGGCATTCCGACACGCCTATACATATGATACACGTACACATGATACACAGACACGCGTACACGCATATACACGTATGAGACGTTGCTGAAGCAACGTATTTGCAAATTAATGTACTGATCGTTTTTCGACGGAACGAGGTAGTCACGAGCAGAGATCGAAACCGGCATTATCTCGATCAAATGTAGCCATTTTTCCATGTTGTTATAGATACGGAAAAATGCGTAATCTTATGCATCAATCGCGTCGCATGAACACAGCGATTACATTTTTTGTCGCGTCTATCGCATGAGAATCTGAACTTATAGGGAATTATGCCGGTATTCGATCGCTGATCGATCGAGGAATAGGAAAAGAAGATACACGTAAAATACGCGTACATGCGCCGGGCGAGAGCAATTTCGGAACCGAGTTGACGTACACAAACGTAATATGATGTAATTAGAATATATCGTTTTTAAAGTGTATAATTAGTAGTGTTATTTTCGTTACGACTTTGTTTGAACGTTCGACACGAGGGCGACGATTCATTCCGTCGTCGTTTAGCATCGTCGACGACGGTCTCGTTCACCGTTTGCCGAAAGCAATGACGGGTTTGAAGTTCCAGAGACACCTATATAACTTTCTGAATTACAAAAACATTTTTTAAGGAATTAAAAATGGATATTCTACTATAAAAATATTGATAGCAAATACAATATGGTGATCAAAATTGATGTCTTTAAGTGATATGATGTTTTTGAAACGTAATATATCTGGAGCGCTTTGGGACTCCAATCGAATAGATTAGTTTATTTATCGATGAACCCGTCATTGTACCGAAAGAACATCTTTTCTTTGAGAATAGAGATTTATACGCGAGCCGACGATGTTAATTCGACGATGAATCGACGCCGGGCAAAGAAAACGGGTGCGCATTTCGTGCGACAAGATGCGATTGAAGAAGGACGTTCGCGGGGAGAATTAGGCGAGTAATAATTGACGAGGCGTGGCGAAGTGGAAATTCATCGGCGGTCGTCTGCTACTAATTGGACCGCGATCAATTTTAGAGAAGCGAGCCAATCTGGCGCCGCGCGATAAACCAATTGAAGACCAAGGATTGTTGATACTGTTAATTGTTAATGCGAAGTCGGGATTCGATTTAATCGCGAGGCATTGTGTTATCGATTTTCGAAGAAAGAAAACGAAAAGAAAACGTTTCTATTAATACGCGCGATTTGAATTCGGGAAATTAAACAAGCGATCGCGCGTGAT